TCTAATTGGACTGCATAATAAAAGGATGGATTTTCCACCATTTTCTTACGAAAGTATTGCAACACACTACCCGCTTCTCCATATTCCAAATCTTTTTGTCTTTTCGATCTTAAATAATTTTTTTGGTCCAATTTGGTGAAGCCTAGTGATGCTCTTCCACCACATTCCCTACCCAATAGCTCATAAGCAGACCTAAGAGGAATTACAGATTCTGAAGCCAATTCTACTTCAATTGCTTGGGTGGTAGATATTTTTCTTTGGGATGGCAACATATGAACACACTCTTGACGCACAAGGTCATGATTATGATGTTCAACAAAATCAATTGCAACATATTTCCCTAAATTTCTATCTAACTTTATACTCAATCGGGCACCACAACCACATCGCACCTCTTGTGTCGGAAATTTTACTAGTGGATCTCGCTTGTCAATACCCCGAGTTCCCTCTTTATAACATACAAAAATCCGTGAAGTTATTTCCTTGGTTTGTTTGTTCTTGTGTGCATACGACTTCCTAATACTAAACCCCACCTTTCCGCCATAGTTATTATAAAAGTCATACGCAGCTTGTTCAGAGTCAAATGGCATGCCCAATTTTGGCTTCCAACCACAACTACCCAAGTCATCAACAACATTATTTTCTTCCATTACCTACAATTCAGTACCATACAATAATAAAATAAGCTACTTCCCAAAATTTAATGGATAGGATTTTTTAGAAGTGTGCCTACAAATACTACTGAGTAATTTATATAACATTTTCCTATACATATAATATACCAGTGGGAAAGATGAATGATATGAATAATTTCAAGCATAATATTATTTAATGGTACCGCACCTACCTTAGATTTACAACAAATACAAACACAAACTGTCAAACCCAAACCCTATCACCAAAGAAGTTAGAATGTTAAACCACACATTATGATGATTTTTAACTGACACCTGCAATATTGAGTTGTCAATATCACTTTAGGAACATAATTAAATGAATAAGATGTCCAGCAACAAAATGAATGAATACCTTACATGTTTTTCATATTTCTAACTCCATCGAAAAAAAAAAATAAAAAAAATAAAAAATAAAAAATTTTAACAAACAGTATCGTCATTATATAAAAATGTGATTTAGAATCTGATTTTTATTAGTACTCCATCATGATGTTTATTTTCTAAAGCACTCTTAGATTTGAGGAGTAGGCTAAACACTCAGGAAGTCTGGGAAATTCTGGCACAAGATAGTTTTTGGTGGATGAAATAAATGAAACAAATGCTTGAAACAAAAACGAAATAAAAAACAAAAAAAAGTGCCATTTCAAGCACCTAAGGTGTGTTTTGGGATGCTAAGTGAAGAATAGTTAGCAACATACTCCATCTTTATTGTTACAGTGATAATTCCGTGGAGCCGATCAAAACAAAAAAAAAAAAGTGATAATTCAGTGGAATCTTAACCGTACAGCAGCTAACCAGTCATGTGAATCACTAAAAAGCTTGCACATACCATAAATAAACTAAAGAAAACTCCAAACAACAACTTAAGGACAGATGTGTTTCACTTGAATTTGTCAATTGAAAGAGTCCAAGCACATGAACCATCCACATAAAAAATACAAATTGTTAAGTGGGAAGAACAGTCGAATCTGTCTTTCGGTATATTTCTGTGGTGGTAAGGCCACATCTTTGTTATTCTATATTAACAATCTTATCTCTTTAATCTGATTTGTCAGGAACAATTGATTTAAAGATTACCGCCCTTACAACATTCAAACAACAATGTGCCATTTCAGCACAATAAAAGGTCATTATAGAATTCTGTTAAATGAAAATTTAACAGAACCATTCCAAGCACATGAACCATTTCAAGCAAAATTAAATGAAATTTTTTTTGAACACATAACAGTTAGATCAATTCTATTAATTTTCAGAATTCTGGGTCAAAATTTTTTTCAATTAACAGAATTCTGTTAACATTTTTGTAATGTTTGGTAGTGGAATATACCTTTTTGAACAATTCCATCACTATAATCTTTAATGAAAATCACTTCTAGAAATGAAAAAACCCAGAATTGATATTTATCTATAATTCCATCACTATAATTCCATCCCAAAAATGAAAAAATGAAAAAAATGAAAAATTCCATCACTACCCAGTTAGAACAATTCCATCACTATAATTCCATCCCAAAAATGAAAAAATGAAAAAAATGAAAAATTCCATCACTACCCAGTTAGAACAATTCCATCACTATAATTCCATTTCCATCCCAAAAATGAAAAAATTAAAAAAATGAAAAATTCCATCACTACCCAGTTAGAACAATTCCATCACTATAATTCCATCCCAAAAATGAAAAAATGAAAAAACATCCCAAAAATTCCATCACTAGGTGAATTTTATTTTATGGGGTAAATCATTAAGGAGCCTGTAAAAAATGGAGCCTGTAAATCATAAAATTTTTAGGAGCCTGTAAAAAATGGAGCCTATAAATCATAAAATTTTATGGGGTAAATCATTAAGGAGCCTGTAAATCATAAAATGGAACCCAAAAATGAAAAAAAAAATTGAAAAACCCAGAATTGATATTTTTCTATAATCTTTTTTGACTTCTAGAAACATTTATAAAAAATTTCAGGCAGATATTCAAATATATATATATATATATATGTATATATCATCTACAATAATCTTAAAAACTTCAGCTACAGATATTCACTTATTTTACCTCCTCAGGGCCGCAATCTTGCCTCGCCGTCGCGTCGCGCGCCTCCGCCATGTTTCGTCCTTCGCCATGGCAGTCTCCTCCCTCCGCCATGCTCCCTCCATTGCCATGGCAGTCTCCTACCTCCGTCATCCTTTGTCCTTCGCAATGGTTGTCTCCTCCCTCCACCATCCTTCGTTCGCCCTCGCCCAACCCGTCGCGTCCCTCTACCGTCTGTCTCATCTCTCAGCTCAGCTCTCTCTCCTCTCTCTTCGTCTACCATCTCTGTCTTAGAGCTAAACAAAACAAAACACAGAGCTGAGAAGAACAAACAAGCGGGAATTTCAAATTTTGGGGAAAAATTAAAAAAAAAAAAAGGGTTAAAACGACGTCGTTTTAACCAAAACGACGCCGTTTTGAAAAGGGCGACAGGGAGGGCGACAGGAAAGTGCTACTGAAGATCTGTATTCCATACATACGGGTCCACAAAATGATGTGTTTGTGTGGAATCAGATCCTTAGTTTTCTACTTCACTTCTTACTTATTGGATTATTAGGTCTTCTTTTAGGTTCAATTTCAATGATTTGAACCGTTTACATTTTAAGATTTATTGAGTATATTATACCTGTAAAAAATCAAATTGATCAGATATTAGAAAGCATGTATTCGAAAAACCGTTTATTAAATTTGTTTAAAAAATGGTTTTTAATTTGATGATCCGAACACATGTTTTCTGATATTTAATCAACTTAATTTTTTTACAGGTATAATATACTAAACTAATTTTAAAATATAAACAATTTAAATTATCAAAATTGAGCCTTAAAGGGAACTCAATAATCCAACAAGTAGAAAGTCGAGTAAGAAAGTGAAAGAGAGATCTGATTCCGTTTGAGCATATTTGTTTTGAGAGATAAGAGGGTGGGATTGGACTATTAGTCCCACCGGACTAATAGTCCATTGTTTGTTTGAAAATTTTTACTCCGGACTAATAGTCTCCCCGGACTATTAGTCCCACAAATATGGGACTATCCTATCCCATGGGGGGTGTGGGATAGAAACCATGGGATTGGTATCCTATGGGATTATTTTGTGAAATGTCCATTTTACCTTCCATGCTATTACTTAGTGAACAATTAGAAAATGGTAAAATAGTCTTTTGAACATTTATATTTGAGTAAGAAAATGGTGTGAATTGAGAAATTTTGTGATGTAGAAATGGAAGCTCCTGTGTCTGGGTTAACCACATCAGCTTGATGCCACGGCTGCACCAAGTTTGAGAAGACACAAAGGCCATACTTGTTTGGGCAGACATATGCATGAGATTGGACTAATAGTCTAATCAAGTTATTAATCTGATGTTTGGTTAAAAAATTGAAGTATCGAATAACAATAAATAATAAATTATGGCCTTATAAATTAAATTATAAATTAAATTTATTTAAAAATAATAAATAATAAATTATGGCCTTAAATTTAATTTATATATTAAATAAAATTATTTTTTTATTGTCGTTATTTAAAATTATATATTAAATAAAATATAAAATATAAAATATAAATTTAATTTAATTTAATTGAAAATAATAAATTAAAAATTGTGGCCTTATAAATTATATTTAATTGAAAAAAATTATATTTTTTTAGTGTTGTTAATTATAAATTATAGATTATAAGGGTAAAATAGTCTTTTGAACATTTATCCTTATCCAGTCCGTCTAACCAAACATTGGATTTACTAAAAATAGTCCAATCCAGACATCTAATCACATGACTAAACAAAACATTGGATTTACTAAAAATAGTCCAATCCAGACATCTAATCACATGACTAAACAAACATAGGATACAAATCCAATCCAACCAAATAGTCCCGGGATAATGTATCCCGAGACTAACAGTCCGATGCATTACAATCCCACTTTATCCAGTCCGTCCAAACAAACACACCCTTTGTGTGTGTCTATTTTAGTACATGTACAATTTATGAACAGAGAAAGAGAGAGACAGAGGAGCAAGGATTTTTTTAAAAATTTTCTGGAGTGATGTATTGTGTAATTGAAATTTAATGATAAATTATATCAATTTTTTAGCATTGAATTTCAACCACACAATACATTTAGAAAAATGCTTGGGACCTCTAATTAGAGGTACCACTAGTGATGTGGCAGTGGGTCCCACCCACTGCCACATCAGTGCTGTGTCTTGATTTTTTTTTTTTTTTTTGGCCTTTTCCACCTCATTAGAGGTGTGTTTAGAGCCTCTAAATTAGAGGTCTCTAGCATTGCCCATACATTTATAGAGGATCCTTGGCCGGGACAGAGAGTACTCACAATCCACGAACTTTGGTCTTCAGAGAGAGAGAAGGGGTGGTGGATTTGACATGGGTTGGTGAGGAAGCTCTCATTGAGTCAACCCAGGCGTTGACTCTTGCAGCTCCATTGATTTCAAGGTTCTGTATTAGCTTCCTCTGTAAAATGGTGAAGAAGCTTCCCGGAGCCACTGGCGGCTTCTGCGCCGCCGTCTTGAACAGCGACGAGTTCGCCGCCGCCGCCACTGTTATCGCCATGTTGATGGCCGATTTGGTGTTCGAAGCTACCACATTTTTCTTCGTCATCTTATCTCTTTCTTCAATCAAACTCACTGCAATAAAAACCAAAGTCACATTACATGATTTTGATGACAAAAAACCACCATCTTTTCAATTTATAAACACCACTAATCTCCAAATTGAAACATACCCATTTCAGCAAAACTAAGGTTTTGATCAATAACTAAAAATCTCTGAATTAATGGGTTCGATCGTTAGGTAACAAGAAATCAGAGGAGAAAGCTCTGTTTTCAGAGAATGAGAAAAGAGGGAGAGTTTGAGACTCTGATTGAAACCAAGAACAAACCAAGTTTGAGGTCTCAAAAAAGGGTCACAAAGATTTGTGGAAAGGGCTTAGAGAGAGAGAGAGAGAGAGTGGGCAGTGTGAGAGAGATAGAGGGTGGTTTTGGTTGTTATATAGTGGGTGTTTGCAAGTTGTGTTTGGAGGAATTTTTAGTTAAAAATAAAATAGGTTTTGATAATTAATAAAATAAAATATTATTTGAAATTTATAAATATTTTATTTTTTTTCTTACATATATTTCATTTAATTGTAAAAAGTTTAACAATCTTTTAAATAACTTACTTATTTAATCCATCGCAAAGAACACCTTAAAATAACTTACTAAAATAATCATCATTCCCAAGCACGGGAATAGGAAACGATGGTCAAGTCCTGATGGGAGATCCACTTGGTGGGGACCCCGACATCCTGATGATACACCGTGTTGACATCTCTTTCCCACCGCCACCTGGCAGCCTTCGCCACGTGTTGCTCTCTAGATGGCCTCTTCTAGCCATGTGAATATTTGCCACCACGAACCCACAACTGCTACCTCACCCTCACCTCAAAAAAAAAAAAAAAATATCGACTACTTTTACCAACCATGCAAACCATTTGGTTCAATCAGTATTGAAAAAAATTTAGTACTTGCGAGGGAAATTTATAATCTGGCTTTGGGCTGTGGTAGAAGCTGGACGGATAGGACCGAACATGTTAGGCCGAGCTAATTTGGGTCAGTCCAGAGTGGATTTTGCCCGGTTGAGGCTCAGGCCCCCTGTTTAGGCTGAGCTGACTGACGCCTCCCTGGAGTTGATCTTGCTCGGTCGAGGCTTAGGCTCGAGGTCAACTAAAAATCTCTGAATTAATGGGTTCGATCGTTAGGTAACAAGAAATCAGAGGAGAAAGCTCTGTTTTCAGAGAATGAGAAAAGAGGGAGAGTTTGAGACTCTGATTGAAACCAAGAACAAACCAAGTTTGAGGTCTCAAAAAAGGGTCACAAAGATTTGTGGAAAGGGCTGAGAGAGAGAGAGAGAGAGAGAGAGAGAGAGAGTGGGGAGTGTGAGAGAGATAGAGGGGGGTTTTTGGTTGTTATATAGTGGGTGTTTGCAAGTTGTGTTTGGAGGAATTTTTAGTTAAAAGATAAAATAGGTTAAGGTAATTAATAAAATAAAATATTATTTGAAATTTATAAATATTTTATTTTTTTTCTTACATATATTTCATTTAATTGTAAAAAATTTAACAATCTTTTTTAACTATAAAAGTTATAATCTTTAAAATAATCAAAATTTAGGACTAGTTTGGCATAATACAAAAAAGTTAAAAAATTATTATCTTATTTAAGTCACATCATCTTATTTAAATCACATCATCTCTTTACCATATCACTTCAAACTCAATCTATATTTCACATTTTTTCATAAAAAGTCAAAAAATATACTTATTTAATCCATCGCAAACAATCCCTTAAAATAACTTACTAAAATAATCATCATTGCAAAGCACGGGAGCAGGAAACGATGGTCAAGTCCTGATGGGAGATCCACTTGGTGGGGACCCCGACATCATGACGGTACACCGTGTTGACATCTCTTCCCCACCGCCACCTGGCAGCCTTTGCCACGTGTTGCTCTCTAGATGGCCTCTTCTGGCCATGTGAATATTTGCCACCACGAACCCACAACTGCTACCTCACCCTCACCTCAAAAAAAATAAAACTAAATGAAATATTGACTAATTTTACCAACCGTGCAAACCATTTGGTTCAATCGGCATTGAAAAAAATTTAATACTTGTGAGGGAGATTTATAATCTGGCTTTGGGCCGTGGTAGAAGCTGGACGGATAGGACCAAGCATGTTAGGCCGAGCTAATTTGGGCTAGTTTAGAGTGGATTTTGCCCGGTTGAGACTCGGGCCCCCTGTTTAGGCCGAGCTGACTGAGGTCTCCCTGGAGTTGATCTTGCTCGGTCAAGGCTTAGGCCCGAGGTCCAGGTTCAATGTTTGAACCGAGCTTACTTGGCCGAGATGACCGCCTGCTAACCTAGGTTCCATGGGTCGCACGTGTAGCTCGACAGGAAATGTCTTCTGTTTATCGACCGACCTGTCTTGAACTCGGCTCTGCCGGAATGCTTCCGAGCGCGGCTGTTATGGAGCTCGGCGAGCGGAACACTCAGGCACATTGCGCAGCACGGTCATGGGAAGTCGAGGTGATGCCGCTGGGATGCCAAGCTCCCGCTAATGTAGTCTGGTGGTATGGTTAAGTGGTGATTGCTGGATTTGTGCTGACAGATGGGAAAGCAGCTCCACGTGTCAAGAGACCAATAGGAGTAGATTTGAGCGCAGAAAGTATATAAGCAAGACTACGCCCCCCATACTGAGGATGGAACATCATTTGGTGAGAAACACTCATTGTGATATATCTCTCTCTTCCTCTCTCTCCCCCTGAGTGTATGTGCTAACTTGACCGTCGGAGGGGTTTTCTGGCAACACACCGCTGGGCAACTCACCACCGTTGTGTTTGTAAGTCGATCGGATAGACAAGGAGCTTGGATGAAAAGAGTACGGACAACGACGAATATTTGTTCCCCGTACAATTGGCGCCGTTTGTGGGAAGTTTGATAGACAAAACCTTGTCTTCCAAGCTCATCTGATCGCCTTCAATGGCCAACAACGACGAGATACTGCTGTCCGCTATTGACGGTGTTACCCCGAAGTCAGCCAGACGGAGAGACGGACTTCCCGCCGTTCCAAACATGGCAGGCCTAGAGACTTCCCCAGGAGGACATTCAAGAGACACGCAGGATAAGCGCGGTAGAAGTTTTGGTAACTCTCGGAGCCCAGACGGGCACCGACGGTGAAGAGATCGCACGCTAGGCGTTTGGAGCACAAGTTAAGAGACCAAGATGCCGTCATCCGGAGAATGGCGGCGGAGATGGAAGATCTCAAACGGCATGTCAAAGGGAAGGGTGTTGCTGGAGTGGGAGACCACAGTGAGGGCACCCAACCACGCTGTTCAGGCAGTCAGAGCCAGCGGTACACTCCCTCCCTTTCTATCACCAGAAACTACAGGGTTGGAGAATCCGACGCGCCTGTAGAGAAGTCTAGCGCGCAAGATAGTACCTATCAACCCTCACGTCTGGCGACGACATCGAGGTATTCCTATTTCGCTCGCTCAAAGAACTTGCAAGCAGTCTTGAAGGAGCAGGCTCGCCGGCGAGAGACTCAAAGGGTGCCGGCGCTCCAGCGGCTATCTTACGGGGGCCGCGCCAGTGAAGAGGTCATAATGCCACCACTCCGCCCAGCCGTGCCTCTCCTTCTAGACACAGATTTGGCGAGGCTGAACGCCACCCCCTTCTTTCCTGAGATAGAAACCACTTCGCTTCCCACGGGCTTTCACCAGCCCAAGTTTACGCTCTACGACAAACAGACCGATCCATACATGCATGTAAGCCACTTCCGACAGGTCATGGCCGGACATAGGCGCAATGACGCTCTTATGTGCCTTATCTTCCCGTCGCGTTTGGGCGAGCTGGGCTTGAAATGGTTTGAGAGGCTTCCGGAGGGAAGTATTGAAAGGTGGAGCAGTTGGTGGAAGCCTTTGTAACTCGTTTCAAGACCAACACTAAAACGCCGAAGGAGGTGAACCACCTTTTCAATGTCAAAATGGAGTCGAGCGACACACTCAAGACATACAACTCCAGATACTGGGAAACCTTCAATGAGATTTTAGATTGCCCGATCAACCTGGCAATCACCCAATATAAGCGCGGTCTCCCGGTCGGACATAGGTTGCGGGACTCGCTTACCATGAACTAGCCGACATCCATGGGCCAACTAATGCAGTGCATCAATGAGCACATCCGAGTAGAGAATGATGCGGCGGCGTCCACCGCGAAGATAACTCCGGTAGTAACAGACAAGAGGTCGGCTAGCAAGGTGCACGCGGTCGGACAGGAGACTAACCGTCCAAATGACCGCGCCGAGGAATTTGACCGAGGGTCGAATCGTCGAAACCGAGGAAGGGGACTTCAAAATGACCGAGATGAATACCCCCGCGATGACATAGCTGATGCCAACAGAAGGTTGAAAGCTCGGACGAGCATCACCACAGTCTTTAAGATTCCAATCTATTGCATACTTAGTGAAATCCGTGACGAGGATTACGTCCGGTTTCCTACTAAGTTAGGCGACGCGCAAAAGGGCTTCAACTCGCGGTACCGCTGCACATATCACCGAGAGCGAGGACACTGGACGGAGGACTGTTTGCCTCTGAAGCAACACTTGGAGGAGTTAGTCGCAGCCGGACACTTAGATCTTTACATCGATGGGGATGTTAAGGCTGCGCATCCCGCCCTGGCTGATCCACACGGACCGGCTGACTTGGAGATGCCCCCTCAAGGAGTGGTTAATGTGATCCACGGCATAGTGGAGCCGGCGCGTGTATGCGAGCTCCGCGGAATGATCAAAAAAACGGAACACATGAGGGAAGTTTTGTTAGTCCAGCCCGCGATCAAAAGGGGGAAGACCGAGGAAAACGATGTGATTAGTTTCTCCACAAGGGACCTAGAGCGCATTCAAACGCCACACAACGACGCCCTAGTAGTCACTCTCCGCGTCAAAGAGTTCGATGTCAAGCGCATCTTGATTGACCAGGGAAGCTCGGTTGAAATTATGTACTACGACGTATTCAAACAACTCAAACTCCGAGATACAGACTTGGCTCCGGCTACTCGCCACTGGCAGGTTTCAACTCGCAACCGGAGTGGCCTTTGGGAAAAATAATTTTACCGGTCAAGGCTGGATCCGTGGTCAAGCAGGTGGAGTTCTGGGTATTGCAGGTGCCGTCTACATATAATCTAATCCTCGGTAGGGGCTGGCTTCATGCTATGCAGGCTGTAGCGTCGACCTACCACTAGGTTATGAGATTTCCCTCGGCTATGGGGGAAATTGAGGAAATTTGGGGCGATCAAGTCATGCCGAAGCAATGCTTCGTGGCAGTGAACGGGAGCCGAGCTTCCAAAGGCTTCGTGCAAATGATTGAAGGCCCATAAGACCAGAGTGTCCTTGATGACATGGGCACCAGGGCCG